GCTGGAGAATTCTGGGAGTTGAAGTCCACCTATCTTAAAGTTGCCAAGGTTGAGAAACACTATGCTAGAGATTCTTAGCAATCTTAATGTATATCCATGGGACAAAATATAACTAACTAGCAATATATTCATCAAATCATGTCAAGCTGAGCCAAAACAGTTAACGATCCCTTTCTGCAGTTGGGGCTGTGGCTTGCAATCAGACCCAAAGGTTTCCTTGAGCAAGCAAGTCTTCCGGGTTTTTCCAAACACCAAAAGTTTGGGGCTAAGTTGATCCTTGGGGAGGGGGTGGGGGGAGGACCCTCTTCCAAAGATGGGGGGCAGCAACAGGAAGGACCCACCTTCACAGCTTCTCACGGTAACACTCTTTTCTCAGGAAAACATGGGAATATCTGTTGTGTGTGTGTGTTTTTCCCCCAACTGTACACCTTTAAGCGTTATTATTAGGCATTCTCGTCTGAAGAATATTCAGCAAATGCTGGGCCTTTAGGATTAATGCGAGTTTTAGCCAAACGCCTAAGAATTGTCCAAATACCCCTGTAATATGTATGGAGTTCCAAGCAAAGCTGTTTTTTTGCAAACTGAATGCTGTGAGGTTGAATAATTCATTTTTTTTCCCCAGCTGTTTTGACAATTCTATTAAAACTCCTGACACTTTAATAACTGGGGGGGGGGGGATTTTGCTGTTTTATTCCATAATCTCTCCATTTCGGTGGTTAAATCCTGATCTTTCACAATTTTTTGCCAGTTCCTCTTGAGCTATTCGACTCTTACTGTCATTTGGCATTGCAATATCTATAAGTGACTTGCTTTTCTTCAACTACTGCAATGTCTGGCATATTGTCTTCTGGATGTTGGTCTGTCTGAATTCGGAGGTCCCATAAAATGTATACATGGTCATGCTGGAGCACTTTCCCCCTTGTTTGGAAAAGATTGCAGAAATCTATTGAAGCACTTTTAAGACATTGAAGAAAGAGTTTTGTGGTGGAGATCTTAAAAAAGGAAATGGCAACATTGTGGAAACCCATTACTATCTGTAGAACTAAGATTTCTATTATGTATCCCCCTTAATAGGGGGTTAATGGGTTGGTCTCAGCATGATGGATAACAGAGGTAGCAAAGATGGAGATTGCAGAAGTGATGGAGGGACGTTGGGGGGTGAGAAGATGGTGGAGGGACGTTGGGGGTAAGAAGATGGTGGAGGGACGTTGGGGGCTGAGAAGGTGGTGGAGGGACGTTGGGGGCTGAGAAGCTGAGGAGGATATGACGGATATCTGGAAGATAACTTTAATTGCAAATCATTGCTGCTTAAATCAGGAAAATAAGAGCAGAGCAGCTCACGCTCTGGCCCTGCAGCCTGTTCTCCTCCCTTCTTGGAACATTTACTATTCTCTTTGTGAGTTACAACAGTTGCTCGGTTGAGCTTCCCCATAGCTGTGCCTTGCACTGCCGCTGCTGCATTGCAGAACAGGAATTTGGTATGGATGTATGTGAGCATGTAGGAATACATAAATAAAGCACTCTGGGCTAGGAAAAAAATGGGTCGAGCGCGCCGTTTTTTATAAAGGGCAAATGCAGCCCGTGGGATGTAATTTGGTGTTGCATCGATTCAATGCCAGGGAGGGAAAAAAGGAGGAGGAGGAAGAGAAAGGAGGAGGAGGAGGGAGGAGGAAGCAGCAGCCATCTCTACATCTTGTGGCAGTGAGTTGCATAAGTTCATTCTCAATGTGTACCTGTAACTACGAACACACTTTTACATAACAGCTCCAACACACAGTGACCCTATTTCAGTGTAAGCCCGCTTCTGCCTTCCTGCTGCCGTTTTGCTCTGCTTTTCTATTGTTTCCCCCCTTTTTGGTTTAATTAAATAAAGGGCTTTTTTTTAAAAAAAAGAGAGATCATTCTGCATTTTCCCAATTCTGACCCGAAGGGGGCATGAGAGAAAACGCCCCTCTTCACAGCCCATATCAACGACTCCAAAGGCCATTTTCCCGCTTCCTTTCCCCATCGCCCGTTTGCTTTCAAAGTGTGGCGATGTGCAGAAACACAGCGGCGGGAATCCTCTTGATGCCAATTCGGCCAAATGAGCTTTGTGGCCGTTAGAACGGGGGAATGAGTAAGAAAAGCAGTCAAGATGGGAACCGGGGGGAGGATGGTGCAGGTGGGTGGAAATGAGGACGGGTTTTGCCAAGCTGTGTAGGAGAGACAATTTCACAGATGTGCATTTTGGAAAATGCTCCTGACAGCTGTGCCATGCTCAGGAGGGAACGCTCGTTCGGCGCATTCCTCGCCATGCTTCACCAAGGGCCTGCCCACCCCAAGCCTTCCAGCTGGATCTCATTTCGCCTGACCTTGCGTGAAGCGAACAGTTGGCACCGCTTTGCTGAACGTGGGCTGTGATGTCCGCGTCAGCCCTCTAAGGTAGACCGGGTAGACACCGTGTAGAGCTAAAGCTACTTTTATGCCTATTATAAGTGGTGGGGTTTTTAAAAAATTATTTCTATTTATGAAGAGCTTTTTTTCCCCCTAGGATAAAAGACCAGTCAAAAAGAAAGAAACGAGAAAAAACAAAAAAGGGGGGAAAAAGAAAAACTAAAGTTAAAGAATATATAAGTGACTTCTGACCTTCTTTTCAACAGATAATTACAACCTTATTGTAATTCCTCCCTCAGATATTATACTTCAGCCTCACATTATCATCTTCAAATCCATAAATCATCCTTTCATTTCTACCAAACTCCGGATTTTAAGGATGTTCAGGAAGTCTTCAGTTGCTAGTTAATCACAAAAGGCCAGAATTATTCAAGCCGAGGATGGAGGCTAGCGGATCAGCCCCGATTTGATCTGTGGATTCAGGTCATCAATTCGGCCTGAGTGGATGATTTTTTTTCCTAACTGGTTCAGAAAAAAGGCATTTCTGAACTACTCTGAAGCTTTATCCAGCTTGATTCAGTTTAATCAAAAGAGATGATTTAATTCAGAAAGTTTGTCCAATTCAGAACTTCCTACAGCCCTGGACACTGTAATAGAACATGGACATTGTCTACCTAATAACTACTCTAGTCATTCCCTGTTACCAGCCTAAATATTTCCATATTAGCTACTGAGTTTGGAAATTTAGTCCATTTTCAGGTTTTAAGCAAGGAAGATGCCATTACTAAACAGTGAAAAAACAAGAGTCCCGGGCCCTTCGATCTTCTCATCTTTCAACCCATCTCTGACTTGCAATCTATTTGGCCATAAGACAGAGTCCACCAAGCACAATCAATATTTTATTTTATCCAGTCCTATCCATTTCAGCTAAGCTATCCAGCCCTGCTTAATTGCTCCTCCCTTCTAAATCCTTCAAGAGAGACTCACGGTTCCATTGTGTGAGACCTTCTTCAGATCTTCAGTTAGACATCCCTGGCTGAGAAGTCTGAATTGTTGCCTCAACACCCATGGAAGATATCAAACTAGGGAAAACTTTCTTACTAAGACTTGCTATTGTCAGCTTTAATCCTAACTGTGCATGTTACTAAAAAGTGGGTGCATAATCTACACCAGTGTTTCTCAACCTTGGCAAGTTTAAGATGGGTGCTGGCTGGGGAATTCTGGGAGTTGAAGTCCACCCATCTGAAACTTGCCAAAGCTGAGAAACACTGATCTACATTGTTGCAATTACAGTACCTCCCCATAGTATTTTCCTTACCTGATTTTGAGATCTGGGAGGAGAGGAATTGCATTTGTGTTGAGTTCCAACACATACCTGGGGATGATCTGTTGAAGGTCATACTGCTGGTCAGTTTCTGGATGCTTTCTAAACAAGCTTCTTGCTCCTTCCTGATGAAACAATCGGAGTGCATTGGCGTAGCCTGCAGAAAACACAAAGGGGGCTCGTGATGGCAATCCCAGGCAGCAAAATCCTTATGCAAATGCTGTTCTAATCTCCTTGAGACAGCGCGGGAAGCAGGTAGATAAATGCAGCATTGGCGCAATGATGTCATCACACCCGTGTCATCCTTTGTCCCACGGGAGCTGCAGGGTATGGTCACAAAAAGATGGCTCAGTTGCTGATTTCCTTGGTTGCCAGACTAGGTCTATTTTTGCACTTAGGGTTTTTTTAAAAAAAAAATCTTGGGTGGTTTGTATTGATTTTAAATTTTATTCGCTGC